GCCCTTACTCCATTGTAGTTTACATTTTGGTCTTATGCTCGTGTATATATAATTACTGTGTTGAAATTTGTACCAGTTCTGTTCAATAAGTTGTCTATTCTTCTGTTGTATTAGTTTGGGGCCTCAGGGGTTTTAAGCCTACACTTCACCACCACACTTTACCTCCTGATAGCTTTTGGAGAGAAGACTGTAAGAAGGTTGGTGCTAACATTTTGTGGGCAAGACCAAAATCCAGGAAGACTGTGATTTGAGATAATGGAATGGAGACTATGTTACAGAAATGAAGTAAGATGTTGACTGTTTCTCCAGTTATCTCTGTATACCCTCCCTTCCAGTCTAGTGAGTAACCAGTTTCAGTCTAAGAGATTAATAGCTGAACCCCCATTATATGAAACTGTATATTAGTTTTGCTAAAATCTGTGCTTTCCTCCTCCTCCCCTTAGGACATTTGCTTCAAGATCCTATTGCACCCACCAACTCTACCTGCCAACACTATGTCTGCAAAACTTGTAAAGGCAAGAAAATGATGATGAAACCTTCATGTAGCTGGTGCAAAGACTATGAGCAGTTTGAGGAAAACAAGCAGTTAAGCATCCTAGTGAATTGCTACAAGAAACTCTGTGAATATATAACCCAGACAACACTGGCACGGGATATAATAGAAGCAGTTGACTGTTCTTCTGATATTTTGGCTTTGCTTAATGACGGATCATTGTTTTGTGAGGAGACAGAGAAACCTTCAGATTCATCCTTCACTCTGTGTTTGACACATTCCCCTTTACCTTCAACTTCAGAACCCACAGCTGATCCTCAAGCTAGCTTATCTCCAATGTCTGAGAGCACCCTCAGCATTGCTATTGGCAGTTCTGTTATCAATGGTTTGCCTACTTACAATGGGCTTTCAATAGATAGATTTGGTATAAATATCCCTTCACCTGAACATCCAAATACAATTGATGTATGTAATACTGTTGATATAAAAACCGAGGATCTGTCTGACAGCCTGCCACCTGTCTGTGACACGGTAGCCACTGACTTATGCTCCACAGGTATTGATATCTGTAGTTTCAGTGAAGATATAAAACCCGGTGACTCTCTCTTGTTGAGTGTTGAGGAAGTACTCCGCAGCTTAGAAACTGTTTCAAATACAGAAGTTTGCTGTCCTAATTTGCAGCCAAACTTGGAAGCCACTGTATCCAATGGACCTTTTTTGCAGCTTTCTTCCCAGTCTCTTAGCCATAATGTTTTCATGTCTACCAGCCCTGCACTTCATGGGTTATCATGTACAGCAGCAACTCCGAAGGTAGCAAAGTTGAATCGAAAACGATCCAGATCTGAAAGTGACAGTGAGAAAGTTCAGCCACTTCCAATTTCTACCATTATCCGAGGCCCAACACTGGGGGCATCTGCTCCTGTGACTGTGAAGCGGGAAAGCAAAATCTCTCTTCAACCTATAGCAACTGTTCCCAATGGAGGCACAACACCCAAGATCAGCAAGACTGTACTTTTATCTACTAAAAGCATGAAAAAGAGTCATGAACATGGATCCAAGAAATCTCACTCTAAATCCAAGCCAGGTATTCTTAAAAAAGACAAAGCAGTAAAGGAAAAGATTCCTAGTCATCATTTTATGCCAGGAAGCCCTACCAAGACTGTGTACAAAAAGCCCCAGGAAAAGAAAGGATGTAAATGTGGGCGTGCTACTCAAAATCCAAGTGTTCTTACATGTCGCGGCCAACGCTGCCCTTGCTACTCTAACCGGAAAGCCTGCTTAGATTGTATATGTCGTGGCTGCCAAAACTCCTATATGGCCAATGGGGAGAAGAAGCTGGAGGCATTTGCAGTGCCAGAGAAGGCCTTGGAGCAGACCAGGCTCACTTTGGGCATTAATGTGACTAGCATTGCTGTGCGTAACGCAAGTACCAGCACCAGTGTAATTAATGTCACAGGGTCCCCCGTAACGACATTTTTAGCTGCCAGTACACATGATGATAAAAGTTTGGATGAAGCTATAGATATGAGATTCGACTGTTAAATCAGTGGGTCTTTAAACCTACTCCTTGGTAGGAAATAGCTACAGTTTTACGGCAGCTATGGTTCTGTTGGTTTAACTTGCCGGAGCTCCTGCATATAGATCACTTGTATCAAGTGTTTTCATTGCTAAGTTATATGTGTTAGTGTCGGGGAAATAGTTTGCAGATAATGGAGGAGTAACCCTACAACTATATGTTCTTAGTTCTTACAGAACCTCATAGTTTGAGAACAAATGCTGATGCAACTGATTTATACAAAATGAACTTTGGCAAGGAAATAACAATAACCTCATTGTTTATGGTCATGCTTTGTGCATAATCAAAGTTGATGATTAAATGTAAGGAAGTGGTATCTAGTCAGTCCATAAAGATTGTGCTTTTTTTTTTTTTTTTTGTGGAAAAGTAGCCATTAGCTTATCAGGAGACTTTGTGCTGCCTTCAGACGCCGCATTGATATTTCTCCTGTTGAAAAGCTGATGTGTCCAGCTCAACCTTTGTGCTGACATAATACCATTTCTGATCATGAAAATTGGCTACTGGCGTGTATGTAGCAGTTCTTAAATCAGCAGTATTATGAAAGAAAATTTCCCCCTCATTAGAATGTTTAAGAAATCTATCTTTTAAAAAAGTGAATAAATTCTGTCAGACCACAAATGTTAAGCTGTTTATGCTTTAAATATTTATGAGTTCAGCCCTCTTTCTAGTTATCTGATTCACTTCTGTGAGAAAATCCTAAGTCCTTTCATTTTGAGCAATGTTCTATTTGGTAAATAAAGTGAAGAGCTGTTTTATTCTGAATATAATTGAATTTATATAGTTCATGACAGAATTTTTAAAAAAATATAAAAAGAATTTAAAAATTGGGTTTTATTGAAAGGAATTTTGGAATAATGCCCCAAATGTGCCCAGATTTATGCATTATACTTATTGCCATTGACAACTTCTTTTCTATTTATTTCCTATTTGCCACAGGCTTTACCTTGAATATGCTCCTTTTTCCCCCCCCTTTCCTTTTTTTAGGGTGCTGTTCAAAATGAAGGCTTCTTTATCAAGGCCTTAATAAAAAATGCCTTTAATGAAGCCTGTGCATTTAGGTAGGTCTAAAGCTCGGAGGATTTTCTTTAGGATGCTCTTTTGCATGTAAAGCACAAGCTGTTTCAGTTTTAATGTACTTCTTCCTATTAACTTTATGGGGAAGATAAACATTCTGTTGACGGGAAGTCTAGTCAGTTGCTTGAAAGAGCACAGCCCAGATTAAACAAGGACTGACTAGGTGTAGAGAGAACCTTGTGATTTCAAAGAGTTGCTGCTTTGGCAGTGCTTATTTTAAGAAAAATACTGCTAGGGAAGTTCCAGTTTCTACTGCATTCACCATCTAGTGAGATCTGATGTGTTGAAGTTGTTTTGATTTGGCACACAGCATGTTCAATGATGGTTACTCGCCTCATAAAGACATGGAGAAGAGTCCTTTGGACACAGAGCAGATGACACCTCCTGTTTTGTAGTGTATCCTGGTGTCATTTTCTGTGGATGTGGTCAGGTAGTTGTTTTGTTGTTGTCATTGGGCTTTTTAAAAAAAAACAAAAAACAAAAAAAATTTTTGGTCTCTTTCGGTGGGGCGGGGGTGGGCTAAAGCCATAGGAAGAAAAATGTGATGTATGTGTCCAGTATGTACGATTTTGTTTTTGTTTTGCAAGAAGAGTTGAACTATTTTTGATAACAAGAGTAAATGGTGGAAAATGCTTCTTAGTTGTCTTGTCTTTATTTGCTTACAAGTTTTGGAATTTTATTTAAATCTTTAAGTGATAGCAGTGTCTTATGAAACATGTATTTACCTGAAATTTGTAACAGTTTTTGTGTTGAACCATATTCCCTGCTATATAATCGTGTAAATCTGTTTTTTATTCACTAATGATCACTGCAGAAATGACTAGAAATGAGATTGTACACTTGGATAATTAGGTTATATTTTGCAAATTTCCCAAACTTTCCTAATATCTTAAAATTCATGGAGTACCTCATTGCTTCCCAAATTTGATCACTTTGTTTGTTGATGCATGGGAGGTCGGCAATATAGACAAAGTGGACATCAGTATGTGAGGACCTTGGTTGTTCTGTAATATTGCCAATGATGAATTCAGGTTGTTTTTAGCACAAGTTTCTCTTTTTTATGCTGGTATTCTCACTGCCACATTTTTGGAAACATGTATCACACCTTAAATCTATCAATAAATGATAGTTTTCTAATTCTATGTTGTAGAATACTGAGGAGTTTGGGATAGCATGTTTTGAATGGTCTGTATTAGCTGGGGGAAAAGAACTTTATTATAGTGCCTTGGTTTTTATATTGTTTTTCTTTATGACATGGGGTTTTAAAAAGTAATGTTGACAAATGAGTTAGCTGTGAAATTATGAAGTGACTGGATTTATCCATCAGGATATGAAATTTCTAAACAAGAAAAACCGACTGCATTTAAATTGGTGTATCATGAATAATACGAGTCCTTGTCATTAGAGAGCTTACAATTTTTCTTTTTGGTTGGATTTATTTAGTGTATATTTTCTGTATGAAGTCCTAGGGTAAAGGTTCTGTGTAATGGCTTTCTTTAAAAAAAAAAAAGAAAACCTTACTGAAGAAAAGTAAAAATGTTAAACAAATGTAGATTTTTTTCCCCCCGTAGGTAACAATGCTTTTAGCACAAGCATAAAACTCAAGACTATATGACCTGGAGCTAATATTCTGGTTTCATTTTAGATACTCAGTAACATGTCTTAATATATAGATGAGGTTGAAGTCACCTTTGATCCTGGAGAATCCCTGTATCCCAAAGGAAAACACTTCTCAGATGATAGATTGTATTCTTAAGAGTTTCTTTATAATATTTCCAAGTCTTCAAAGAGTTATTTTTGCAAAAACTCAACTGCACTTACAGGCATAAAAATAAATTGTATCTAAAACCAAAAATGTAAAGTGAGCACAATTCATACATAGACAGCTTTATTTTGTTTGGCAAAAGGGGAAAACAAGTCATGCACCATCTCTACTCAAACACTTTTAAAGCCAAGCAAATGATATTCTGAGTTAGAGTTTTGGTATTTTCTTTCTTCTCCTTTCCTTTCCTTTTTTTTTTTTTTCGAACATTTTGAATAGTATAGTAATAGGAAATATACAAAATTATATTAGTTTGATTACCTTGGCAATTATGCTATGAAACCCTCCTTTCATTAAATATTTAGTTCAGTGGTTCTCAGCCTGTGGGTTGAAGCCCCTTTCACAGGGGTTGCATAACGCATATCCGCTATTTACACCATGATTAGTAATGTCAGAATGACAGTTATGAAGTAGCAAAGAAATAACTGTATGGTTGGGGGGTCACAACATGAGGAACTGTATTAAAAGGTCACATTAGGAGTGTTGAGAACCACTGCTTTAGATTATAATTCATCTTTTCCAAGGTTCCTGGGGTATTGTCACAATTTGACATTTCCAGTTTGGTAGTATGGAATATACTTAGCTTGATCTTTACCAAAATTTCAAATACATACTAACCTAGTTCCTTACTCCTTGCATTCATTTCTAAGAAAGGAATAGGGTGAAGCACTTGTTTATGAAAAAAGTGTAATTCAGGTAACCCAAATTAAATAGTCTTCCAACTGAATGGTGTTGATGGGTTTTGATCAAAGTAAAAAAAAAAGCAAGAGTTTGAGTAAGGGTGGAGGAACAAGGGAGCAGAGTAAGTTAAAGAGGGCTGAGGTGCAGTGGTGGTGGAGTGCTTTTGTAGCATGTGGATGGTTCTAGGTTTTGATTCCCAGCACCACAGATAAAGTACAAGTTGTATACATTTCAGTGCAGCCAGTGAGGTCTAACCGGCTCAGCCCTGTGCTCCTGTTGTTTAAAGGATATTATAAAGCTGGATTTTATATTGTGCTCAAAATACATTAGACTATCCAGCTAATAAAATCCTTTAAACCACCCCCCACCTTTTTGAAAACAAGTATTACTCTTTTGTATTTTCTCGTCTGAAATTAATCACTTCCTCTTCCTGCTAAACTAGGATGGGATTGGTGGTAACATCATACAATTCTTTTTAAGACTATGTAGCCCATGCTGACCTCAAACTTTGAACCCTTGATCTGAATCTCCCGAATGCTGGCGTTACAGTAAACAGAGTATTTAGGCTAATGTATATAGTGCATTCTCTGTCTCCTGCCTTGACTACCTAAATCCTGAGAATTTAGGCATATACCACCCACTGTGTGTGTGTGTTATGTGTGTGTGTGTTTTGTTTGTAAAATTTTCCCTCAATGTAGTCACTCTTAGGTTTTAATTATCTGGGTTAGCTCCTAGTTGTGACAGTTCCCAGTTCCTAATGGTTGTAAGGAGATGAGTTGAGTCTTAGAGAACTGGAGGACCTTGGGACAGGTGGGTTGCAGGGCTTGCTAATTTCTAGTATTAGTTGATACTACATTTCTTAAATTCTCATTTTCTCCATGTGTGGCTTTCCATCACCTAAGGTTTGATTATTTCACTGCTTTACCTTTCTGTTAGGAAGAGAACTAGGATGGAGAGGAAGGGGGGCTAGGCTACTCTGACTCTTTAAAGTTGGGACAGAGGAGAGAATCGCTTTGATTTTAGAAATAAACTTTTTTTTTTTTTTTTTTTAGTTTTTTTTTTTTTCAGCATAAAAGGTAACAACAAGCATATTGTAGGGGTTGGCTGCACTGTGGCCTGTTGGAAAGTATAGGATTCTTAATTTACCACTGCAGTAAAACAAACAGGCTTTCTACTGTGGGTGAGAATCATTGTTTTTCTTCCAAGGTTGATAGAGTGAGGTGGATGAAATACCTTGGTGCAGTAGGTATTTTCCACAGGAAGTAAGGAATACTGTTGCTTAGTTTGTGCCTTTTACTTTTGACTTAGTCTAGTATTCAAGAGAAGGGAACGGAATATGTATAGTGAGAAGTTTCCATGGTATGTCACATTCCTTACGTCTTCAAGTAAAGCCTTCTGCTAGAAATGAAGATAGGTCATTAATCTGTAGATTAATACATCATCCAATAATTGTCTACAAATGTTAGTAAGCGCCAAATTCTGTACTTGTCTTCATTTTCAGAAAAATTTTTCATGAGATTTTTATACAAGGTCCACAGTCAGATACAGAGGCTGCCAGAGCTTGCCAGCAGAGCTGGAAGGGCCCAGTGGTTGGTTACAATACCTGAGAATGTAAAGTGACTTAGCAGTTTGGCAGGTCATGGTGAAATTACATTAAACCAGGTAAGTTCAAGGTCCCTGAACTCCAGTATGTATAAGTAGTTTCTGAGATGTTTTGGCAGTGCTTTTGTTACTAGGACAAAGTCAGTTCTAGAGGCCCTTTTTCAAGTTCCAGAACTTTTGACTCAAGTTTTCTGCAAGTGAAGTTTTCTTAAAGGTTCTGTAGGAGCCTGAGGTACCACAGGGAAGCTGGCCAGAACCAAGGCAGCTTCTGCTTCTGTGCAGAGAACTGTGTGTGGCCTTGTTTCCAAGGGAGCCTCCGTACACTGAGGGGTGTAGAGCACGGACTGCAGACTTTGGAAGGTGATTGATGACAGTATGTTACTTCCAAGGAAGAGCTCTGCACATTTTCAACAAAACTGGAGGGGTCTCCTGTGCTGAACTACTTAGAGCATTTTAGTTTCTAGTGCACTTGGAGGAATCAAATCCTTTACAAAGCAGTGCACAAACTAGAACATCTCTCCACACCATCCTTTTTGTGTAGATAATGGCAACTACTCTTCATCCACTGACTGAAGCTTTCCACATTTCTCTGAAAGGCTTGAAGTTACTATTTTATTGCCCTTGTTTCCAAGTTCAGAGGGAGATACAGGTTCATCCGATTCATAGTCTTCAAATGAGCTGAAAAGACAAAATTAGTTGATTTAAAAAAATTAGTTTATAAACATTTGGGTACACATCAATATAGCAATGCAGAGATTTTATGATTAGCCTGAAAATTCACCCTCACTTAGCATGAAAATAATTGAGCTGTTCTGAAGAGGGCACAGTCTAGAGCAGAAAACTCCCTGCTCCCTAAAACTCAAGTCCATGTTAGGATTTGTTAAAAAGCAGAGTTAGAAGATTTTCGAGTGTTTACACTGGTATTTCTATACAGGGAAGCTTTTTATTCATTAATTTTGTATTACAGCCTCTCTCCTTGGCCTCTTATCGACACATTTAGATGTGCAAGTGTGTCTGCTGCAGATACGAAGTCCACTTGTGTGTGGATTCCCCTCCATTCTAATTCTTACTAGAAGAATTCTAATTTCCTTTAAAGCCTACTGATAACCTTGAAATGCCATGTCTCCTAGGTTCAATGTTTATCTCTTGTGAATGATGGTTGCCTGCCCTGAGGTATTCAAGTTAAGTATTCTGATACTAATTTGAGCCTAGAAAAATACATAAGGTCATTCATTGGCTGAACTTGTCTTCATTTTCAGAAAAATTTTCATGAGATTTTTATACAAGATTTTTTTTTTTTAAATCCACAGTTAGATGCAGAAACTGCCAGAGCTTGCCAGCAGAGCTGGAAGGGCCCAGTGGTGAATGAATATGTTCTATGTTAATAGTGCTTGACATCACTGGTGTAGCTTAGGAGCTTTTACATGACAGAGAAGTGCTTTATTATGGAGCCACATATGCAACCCCCTGAACTGTTTTTTTTTTTTTTTTTATGTGTATGAGTGTATGGCCTGAATGTATACATGTGTACCATGTGTGTGATGCCTATAGAAATGAGAAGAGGGCATTGGATCCCTTGGAATTGGATTACAAATGATTGTGAGCTGCCATGTGGGTGTTGGGAACTTAAACTCTTTGCAAGGGCAACAAGTGCACACCACTGAGCCATTACTCCAACAGCCCCCTCCCCCTAAACCCGCAAACATAATTGAGTAGAGGGTAGAAGGTTAAACATTTTTAAAAAAGTGTCTACCTAATGTTTAGAAAAGCTTTCCTGTGATTCTAGCTTATAGTGATGCTTAAACTTGTTCACTGCAGAAATCCTACCTACATTCTTAATTTGTTTCTGTTCTATCACTCCATCCTTGAGTTGTTGATATGTCATGGCAGTGGGCTATGCTGGTAAGTTTGGTGGAGGTGATCAGGGTCTAATACATCAGAAACTACTAAATGTAGCTATAGAGATGTACTAGGGCTTACCTGGGCATTCAGATTGTGACACATGACCCTACTGAGGGTAAGATTATTTGTCAGTAAAAACAACCCCTTTTCCCCAACACTGTACCAGCCAGGTACCAGGCAGGTACCACACTATTCCAGCACTTGGGAGGCAGGTGCATATCTTGGTATACACTGTTGAGTTCCAGGCCAGCCATGCTGAGCTACAAAACAAAAGGCCAAACCAAAAAGGGTTGATTCAATAACTATCCTTTTGGTTAGTGCTGTGGAAACCTATTCAGGCAATATATGGAGAGACATTTGACTCACAACTGAGGATCCTGTGGGTATCTAGTTAAGGGTAGAACTAAACTTACACACTATACCAGAGGCTACCTTATGATCATTCAGCTTAGAACTAGTGGGGTTGTTGGAGCCTGACCCAGCATTGTGAGGTAGGCTGTGGACTAAACTCCTTTGCACTCTGGGGCAACCTTGCTCGTTTTCATGTTTACACACCACTTCTCTTGTGTGCTTTTAAACCTTTACATCCAACCTCAGCCTCTGGACACACTGAAAGCCCTTGTACACCCAGAAGCCTACCAGATGACTTTTCTAGGATGATCATACCTAAGCCTGATCTCACTCTCCTGCTGACTCGTTTCCCTGTATTAGCAAGCCGTGTACCACTCAAAGCCAGAATCCCAATAGTGACCTTTTCTTCTTCCCATCGTTGAATCCAGCCAGTTGCTCAACACACTGTACCCTATGGACACAGCTCTGTTTCTTCCTGCTATTGACTAGGAAACCCTGCTTTCTTGTTTGAATGATGATGGATTTCTTGGACCCCTTGCTGCTGCTATACTCAGACATGTTTAGGATTAGTTACAGTCTTGAAGTTTAGTGCCACTGTTTTCCAGTTACCTAACATAGCTGTCATCCTGGCAAATTGTTTTCCATTTGTTTATCTGAGATACCACCTAAAGTATTCTTCATTCCAGGCTACAGAGCTTTATAGCTCAATGGATATTAGTGCTTACTGCTCTTCCAGAGGACCCGAGTTTTGTTCTCAGCACCCATTTTGAGTGACTACCTGTAACAACACCTACTGAAGATTTGACAGCCTCTTTGGCCCCTATAAGTACCTGTAGGTGTGCATTCTCTCCTGTCTCCTCTTTTCGCCCCAACCCCGATCTAGTACTTAAGCAGGTGGGTCTACTGAGGTCTAGGCTAACCAGGGCTACATAGTGAAACCTGTCTTGATTTTAAAGCCAATTGCTTTATGGGGTATTATCTATTCAACCATTTTTGAATGAGCAGGGGATTCAGGATGAATCACAGTTCAGTATTCACAAGCATAAAACAGCAGCTTTCTTAGGGATACTCTTAGTACAAAAGGCAGATAATGCTCAAAATAATGTCAGCAGTATCCCTGCTTTTAGAACCTAGCTTTCCTGAAGTTTTCACTCAAATAATTTTTTTTAAGTGAAAACTATTATGCTAGTTCTGCAAATCCTGGGATGGAGACACTACCTAGAGTTTACAGAGCTATTGTTGGCATATACATGGTGTGACAAAGGATTGTATGTAGTGTCAGGTGTTGACTGGGAGTTGTGGCTTGAGCCAAGTTTCTGAAATTCTGATTATTTACAGAAACAAATGGCTAGAATATTTGACTCAGGGCTTGCTGTGGGAGATCTCAGACATGGTGTCTGAGTATAGACACAGAATAAAATGTTCACTAGTTCTTTACTTGGGAACCTTTTATAATCCAGAAGTAGAAGTGTGAATTATATTTTTACTTTCTTGAGACAGGGTCTCTCATGTAGCTTATGAGACCTCAAACTCACTCTAGATCCTCCTACTTCTACATTCTTCTTAGTACTGGGAATTCAGGCAGGCACTACCACACAGCTTTTGCAATGATACTGGGGTTAGAACTTGGGTAGCTTTGTGCATGACAGGCACGCACTCTACCAACTGAGCCAATCTCCCCCCCCTCCTCTCTCCCTCCTCCCCTCCCTCCTCCCCTCCCTCCCTCCCTCCCTCCCTCCCTCCCTCCCTCCCTCCCTCCCCAAGCCCCACTAAGTAGCCATGGCTAGCCTGAAGGAGAGAACTGACATGCTTATGCTCTCTCACATAAAAATGCAATAAAAGTTCCTAAGGTCTACCATCTCACTTTCTTGTGTCAAAGTTGATCTGCCTTAAGAACATTCAATAGAAAAGTATTAAAATATTGTTTCTATTTTAAGTGAGTGTTCTGTCTGAATGTTACTATGTGTACAGAGGCCAGAAGAGGGTGCAAGATCCCCTGGCTCTGGAGTTTTAAGTGGCTGTGTAGGTGCTCAACCAAATCTGCATTCTCTGCAAGAGCAGCAAATGCTGAACCATCCTTCCAGCTCCTTAAATTCAGAACAAAATACCCTCTCCCCCCATTTGTAAAGATAAGTCTCCTTATATAGTTCAGGGTCACCTCAAATGCCCAAGTCTTAGGATTATAATGTGTTCAACTATGTCTAGACTATAAACTACCTAAATGGACAAGTTACTGCTTTAGGGAATATTCTAAAGCATTAAAATTTGTTTTTGAATGCTAGTAACATTGTTACTTAGGTGTACTGAAGTGTAAATAATAGTTATCTCTATTGCTTGACCAAAGGTGTTTTTTTTTTTTTTTAAATTACTGTGTGTGTGCGTGCACGTGACAGGTTGTTTGTTTATGGTCATGTGTGGAAGTCAGAGGATACTTTTTGTTAAGTTGGTCTTTTCCTTCTACCTTTATATGGGTTTGGGGCAATCACACTCGGCTATATAGACTTTACTAAGCACCTTTACCTGCTGACTCATCTTGATGCTCCCCACACCTCACGTTAACAATATTTAATTTAGATGTGTAGCTGTCTGGGTGCCCATGCCTGTGCATATGAAAACCAGAAAAGGGTGTTGGTCGGTGTTCTCTTCTGTTATGTTCTACATCTTTCTGTGAGACAGTCTCTTTCCCTGTAACTGGGGCTCCGTTTTCTCAGCTAGGCTGGAAGCCAGCAACCTGGTTCAGAGCTCAGGTTACAGGCATTTTGGGGAACACTAGTCTTACTGTGCGGGTGCTGGATTTCTAGCTTTGTTGTAAATACCATAAGGATGCTAATTATGTGGTATCATTCCTCATATAGGGACTCTGATCTTTTTGGGTTCATTCCTGGGTTGAATTTTTATGCTGGTCTTTGTTGTGATAGTTTGTCAGCTAGCCATGCTTATCTGGGGTGTCTGCAGCCTCAGGCCTGGAGTCATTTATCTGCTGTGACTGAACCAAGAGGTAGAGCTTGACAAAAGGGCAATCCACAGCTGTTGTTAGAAGCTTAAGAATTTTAAGTACTTTTGTAAGGTTTGTATGTTCTGGGATTGGTAAAGACATCTTTGTGGTGGGACTGGGTGGAATACTGTTGCTCTGTCTATGCCATACGATAAATATTTGCTGAGGCACTTCTGTAAGAGTCTATCAGGTGATAAGGTTACATATGAGACAGAAAAATGGTTGTTTGCCTTAGAGAAGCCTACAGTCTTGTGCTAAGATGAGTAAGTCCACTCATAGGCCAGACTCTCTTGGACATACTACACATACCATCTCACCATCTACAAGTTACACAAATAGAGAGTTACAGTATCAATGAGGCCATGTCCTATGCTCTAGGAATGAAACAAACAGCCTGGGTGATGAATGCTACTTATAGCTGACAAAACTC